AATATTTCTAGTTTGTATTTCAAAAGTTACAGGTGAACCCAAAACTACGAAATGTTTTAATGAAGAACTTATACATTAAGAAGTCTAGTTTTAGAGATGCTTACTATGTTTGTAAGCATACGAATTTCTTTACTATTATATAGAATCTATTACTATTATACAGAAACCTCTAACAGTAATTATTTTAAAATATTAAAATCAAATATTAAAAGGAATGAACAATAAGTTATGATTATAGGTAAAAAAATTAATGCTGCAAAGTATATTACGACATTCGAGAATCTTGTGTTATTCGAATGCGAGCATTTGTTACGAGACGTCTATATAACAAATCGGTTTTAGTCTATTTTTATAACTATCAAATGTAGACGCAAGGTATGGAATGTATCACGTGTAATATTCCTTCACATTGGGTTTTTCGTAAATAATTACTAGGTGTTTGCACTGACTAGAAGTCATGGCAGGACTTTTATTTTCGAATGTAAATATGCATTATTTCACATCTTGTCTGGTGACACAAATACATACTATTTAGTGAAAAAGTTAGAGTTTGAGCAATAATCTTCTGAAAACTCAAACCAGTATATATGCAATTTTTTTTTAAATAAACTAAACATCATTTTTTAACATTAAAAAGTGCCGACTTTATTATTTCATAACCTAATACTATCTGCCGTACTAATAAACTATTTTTAGTTCATTTCCAATAGTTGAATAACATAATGTTTTATTTAAATTTTGAATATTAAATATTGAAATACAGACTAACATAATTATTTTAATTAGATGAATTTATTAGAATAAGTAGATTTATTTCAAATTAATGCATCCTGAAGTGAAGTAATGTAGAAACATACTTAAAATGTGAGGCACCTTATAGTAAAAAATATTGAATGGAGTTAAATTCCGATTTCTGCAAGTCCATGTGTATATGTGAATACTTCAATTATCTTATACTTCAAAAATACAATTATAAATTATAATGAAATAAGTCGTAATACCTTCTAATTAAGTACACCTTATGAATGCAAATTCTGATCTTCATCAATACGGAAACTGTGTCACGAGTAACAATGAATGATTCTTCAATATTTACCTATCTATGTGTTTGAATCCCAAATATTGTATAGGATACGCTACACTAAGGAACTCATTCAAATATTTCTACCTGTTACGAAAAAATATTATCCGTTATGGGTTTTCCAAACAAAAAAAAACTCCTATACCGTGTTATTTGAAGTGTTATTACCTCTTAACTTACACATAAAAGGTAATTACTCATATTTTGGGTTTCTTAACAAAAGGATCAATATCCTAAACAACTTGGAGTTTTATTACCTCAAAACGTATACTCTCGTAAAAGAAAAACTCAAGGGCGCAAAGTATATTTTCACGTACCTGTATTTTTCAAATTATACTCAACAGTGTGGAACTTAGTAGAGAATATCTCAACTACATATGTCATATATCGTTTTCCACACTGATTTCTCTATTAATGAGTTTTTATTGTTTTTGTAGTTGTGTGGAATTAATAAACTTTAAATTCTGCATATGCGGTAAAACTCCACTTTTTTATTGCAAAAAGTGTATACCACGATATTTTTATTACGTATACTCGTATATTAAACCTTATAAAATGAAAATTGCATGGTTGCAAGGAATTTTCGACCAAATAATTTTTACTAATAATTGTTTTCAAAAATCGAGTAAAAGCATGTAAAAACTTAAATAATTATTTATTAATATTTTATGTTTCATCATTAACTAATTATTAAATTTATTTAATATAATTTAATAGTTATTGGTGTAGCTATATTATATATATATTACTACACAACTATATAATATATAGTTCTAATAATTAAATATTATTTTATAAAATTACTTATAAATAATAAGTACAGAAAACTATTTTTTCTTGGTTACAGAGGGGTTAACGCCACAAAAAACTGATTGCTTTTTCATTGACTTAAAAATACACTGAAAAAAATATTAACTTATATTGTATGTGTATATTTCTATGTAGCATTTTTTTACTCAGCCATAATGATAAGCAAAAAAAGAGCCACACTGAAACTTTACTTTCTTAATAGAAAATATATTTTTGTAATATTCTAATGAAAATATGAGAACAATTTACATGAGATGTGCATAATCTCTAAAAATTCTATAGTTTTTATTATTATGATAGCAAACACTTATGTGCAGAGTTTATAACAAAAAAATTTCGAATAATACTAAACAATATGAGTGTGAAATACTTTCAAACACATCCGGACCGCAAACTTACCATTGAACACAAATTATGCCAAAAGAACTCGCCTCATAAACAAAATAAATATACAAATTATTTAGGACAAATTAAGTTTTAAAAACGTATGGTAATTTTATGTGTTGACTCATATTACAAAGACTGAAACGGTATGGACGTATCACTTTCAAAAACATTTCAATATATTAGAAAAAAAATGAAGTATAATAAAAACTTACCACACTTGCAAGAACTCTTAAAACTCTATCACATTTTATTTGTCATAAGGATAATGCTATATTGTGAACTATGTTTAATATCATTAATTTCAATAAATATGTAAATATTAAAATATATAATAATCCAAACAACTTAAATTAATCTTATTTTGTTAACAATTTCGCTATGTCGACTTTCTTTGGTAAAAAACGCATTCACACGACAAATCTTAATATTGTTTTATTTTTATAACTTTGTATGACATGAATGCGTACATATTTTATAGCTCAACGAATCAACATTTCTTTAATAAAATTCGTATCAAAATTATATCATTGTGAATTATAAAATTTCTGTCAACTTAATTTTGTACAAATTATAAATTGTAATAAATTGATTTTTACTACATATTAAATACTTACGGTCTTACATGTATTAAATAAATTTTATTTTATTTTCCAGAATATTATTTATTATGTCTTATCACTAAGTCTGCGTTTAGTCATTAATCATAGTTATAATGACCGAAAATTTACTTTAAAATATTGGACATCGTATAATAAAATGCCTAATCAAATGTTTTTAAAATAAACTTTTTTTAGTTCTGTTAGTAGACATTTATAATTATCATAAATTAATATATCGAATCAAATAACTATTTTTTTCTGTTAATTCATATAAAACAGCTGTTCAAGGTACTTTTGGTACTCTGGCAAAATATTTAAAGTGTTATGAATTAGTCTCTAGGTCGTGTGCGAGTTAGGCTAAGTTGCGTTCTAAATGAGGGAAATTCTAAGTTGTGCCGATAATGTAGTGATGTGTCGATACGTGTTGATAAATGGCTATATGTGTGCAGTGCAAAAAATCCCAAAAAATCTCCCATTTGGTTTAGCATCAACTTAGCCTAACTCGCACACGACCCTAGTGTTAAATAATTCACTCGTGATTTACCAATCGAAAGTATCAATCTGGATTGAATCAGTAACCCCAGATTTACTAATCGAAAACAACGTGAAACGTGTGAATAAATAACTTGAATATATATTTCAACTCAAATCATACATTTTGGAAAATATAACTTTAAAGTTACAACAAAATGAAATATAATACTAATAACTAATTAAATTACAATTTACTCTTAAGTTCATGTTAGAGTTCGAGTAAATTGAGGCAAGGTAAATTAAAATTTCCTAGGAATTTTTTGCACTGCACTTATGTAAATGTTTATTTATTTATTTATCGCACTTATTTATTACTTTTGGTTAAAAATTATCAAATTTATTTATTTATTTTGGTTAATTTACCTTATTTTATCTAATTTAGCATACTTTTAAATTCTGCAAAATACTAACATTCGCTGCCATACCGACGTAATTTATTATTTCCCTTAATTTACCATCAATTTACTTGAACTCGCACACGCCCTAAATGTGAATTTTACATAAAAGTATCATTTATTTTAAATTTAGATGACACTTTAATGCCCAATATCGTATATAAAAAGATTATTTGAGTGTGCATTGTAAAATTAAATACAAACCCAAATAAAAATTTTAATTTTTTAAAGGTTTATCGCAACTCTTCAACAAAAAATATTCTGCCTTAATGAAGAAATCAAATAACTTCACTATATTATATAAAACTAAAAGAATTGCTTCTATATAAACGTTCGCATACGCCTTTGAAAAACAAGCACATTAATTATGTATAAATTAAATTAATTATAAAAAGGACTCAAATTAATCAATTGCTAAATAAAAATATTATTATTTTGTTAAGCACATAATATAGGAACTCATATCAGAATTACCACTGCACTCAAATAAATTCTTGCAAGCTCTCTGCTATTGTTCGTTTTTATTTAAACGCTTGGCAACCCTACGATCGTGTTTTCTTCTTGGTGCAGCTGAAGCTTAACAAAAACAAATCGGTTTACGTTAGTTTTCGAAAAACAATTGAGTGGGTTAGTTGCCTCGTGTGTGCGCGCAAAATTATAAATTAGAAAAATGAAATTGTGATTGTTGTGAAAAATTATATTGTAATTGAATCAAAGCAATATTTATGTGAATAAAAAAATACACTGAAACTGAATCTGAATTGTTTTAAAAATGACATGTAGACGAAATATTGTGCAGAAATCTGTGCTTAAAAAAATTTTCGCAAAAAGTGTTAACATTTTTCTTTGATCCTTCGTGTGTGTTTTGTTTAAGTTTATTGTGTGTGAAAACGTGAATGTTAATTATAAAAAGAAATGCTAATGAATGATGTGAAATTAAATTATTTGATATAATTAATTAAATCATTTGTAAATTATAAATAATGAATATAATAAGCAAATCAAATCATTAAGAAAAAAAATTGCTTCTTTTGTCGAAGACAACGGCGTGGGGTGACGTGAAACGTGACACAAATACCAAACTTACATTGCAACAATTATAAAAAAAAAACTGTAAATAATAAAATTAATAATAATAACAACAACAACAGCAAGTGCTACTAATTCCAACAACTCTGTCATATCATTAGCAACATGCAATCACTTGATTTAAATGTGTCCAATAATAATTTATTAACAACGCCAACATCTTTGCCATTTCCAAGCGCTACTGCAATGGCTACTGCAATGGATAATATAGCCAACAACCCGGGCAGTACGACGCCACCGGACTTTGATTTTAATATACCATGTCGCTATTTCAAGAGCTCATTTGCCCGCTCACTCTCACTTAATAATCCAAGTCATCATTTCCAATGCAAATCCTTAGATTACGATATCAATAATATGCGCAACTACAACAACAACAACAACAATAACAACAACGCCAATGGCATTGGCAACAATTTCCATAATTGTCGGAATGATAGTGTCAAAAATATGGATGCTCCACCATTGCCACAACGTATGAGCCGTGCCGGCACACCACCAACTACAGCAACAAAACCAACAACAACACAAATAACAACTGCCGCGATGTCAATTAGTGGCAACATTAACATCAGCATTAATGCCAAGAATGAGGTCAGCTCATCTGACGAGAGTTGCTGCAGCAACAACAACCTGCCGCCAGCATTGCCAGCCAGACGTCCTATGCCGGCAACGAATTCCAATATCAATAACAGCAACAATAACAACAACAGCAGTTGCAGCAGTAATGGCAGCATTGGTGAATTGCAACCGCAACATAAACAGCAACAATTGCCGTTGCTGACACAGTTAAAGCAACAGCAGCAAAATAAAAACAACAACAACAATAGCAATGGCATTGCCAATGCCAATGGCATCGGGAATAGTTATGCTAATGACAGTGATTGTGGTAGTGGCAGTGGCAGTGGCAGTAGCAGTGGCTGTGCTAACATTAACAGCAATGGCAATAATGCCAATAGTGGTGGAAATGTAAGCTCAGTTATTCATGGGAATTTTAATAAACTCACCATAAATCATGCATTACAACAACAACAACATAAAGAGCACAGCATTGACCACAACATCAGAAGGAACGTCTGGCCTAAAGATAATGTGGAACAGGTTAGTGTTGATTTTCTTTTTCACGTTTTTGTTGTTGCTTTTGTTATTTCTAAGGCATTTTCTGTGAAATAAGTTTTCTATTTTTATTAGAAAAAAATGATTTTTCCTATTTTAGTGAAATTGATTTTTTTCCCCAATAACTTTACGTTGCTGTCTTTAATCTTTGTTTGTTTGAACAGCAGAAGACAAATTGCACATGCGTAACTGAAAATTGCTTGTGTTTACACTTTAGGAAAAATGTTAGTACATTAAAAAATATAAGAAAAAATTAAGATACGTTTAAATCCAAAAGTTTTTATAAATAATTTGTGTTATTTATCCTATAATAATGCATATAGGTATATATAGTTAATATATATATTTGAGGCCCTATGCCCCACAAGAAGTTAACGAAATCAAGAAGAATATATAGTTAATATTTAGTTACTTTACTACATAATAGTTCAAATCAAAATTTCTTTTATGTAATTATTCTAAAAAAGTATTTTAAAGATGTGTACTGTATATACCTGGGTTATTTTATGTCTGCTCTTTATGTTTTCAAAAGCTAGGTTAGGTAAGGTTATACCGGCGATTCTAAGAATCTACTTAGACCTATTGACCAATTGTTTTGTTGTATAAGAAACTCAGAGACTCATTACAAACGCCTTGAACCTTTAGCAAAGCCTACGTTGCTCTTTAGAGTGTAGTCTTGGATTTGGTCAAGATCCTCAAAAAAGGAAACCTCAAAAAATCGGCGCTTTAAAGTAATTTTGTAATAAATAGTTTTTTAACATTATATTTATCTCCACCAGGGTATACTGTAGTGAGAACTTAAATGCCATATTGCTGATTAATTAATTTGTTATATCGACTTGTATCAAATGAGTAGCTTTTTTAAAAAGTCATTATTTATATTAGTTAGATCTTTAATATAAATAACTAACCTCTGCAATAGTTTTATATTTGTTTTAGTAATTGTCTAAGTAATGCAACGCAATCAGGACCTTTGGTAAATGGCACTGAAGAATTAGTTTGTAGTTGTTTAATGTTAATGGGTACCACTTCAAACCACTTTATATTCAGATTAGTAACTGGTCTACCAAAGGATCTCTCTTTAACTTGGGAATAAAGAGTGTAGGCATCTGTTGATTTTGTAAAAAGTCTTAATAATATGTTAACAGTAATCTGCCAGATTATATATATACAATGCGATATTTCATTATTGACAATCAAGGCTCCTATAACTCTCAATCTGTATAGGTTTCTGTAATGTTTAATTGCAAATACAAATCGAAGCGTTCCAAAAACTTTATATTTGAATTTGAATATTTGACAAATTGATTTGAATATAACATTCTATCTGCGTCAATATAAAATTTACTAAAAGTAACTTTAAATTTTGTAAACAAGCACTGACATATGTCGATTATCAACAATTTAAGAATTACGTATTCGTTTGAATTTCAAATCAAACAACAGTTTTTCCTCTCAATCTGACTTAAAAAACTCTACCTTGACCCATTTTCCATTATGGCAATTAAACAAAACTTATCTGCAGATTTATATGGAAGGCCGGCTTGACTCAGAGCAGCAATAAATCTGAAATAATACGCATCAGTAGTTACAACTTACAACTTGTAAGTTACAATAAATGACTTAAATGTAAAAATAAATAAATGTTTTTCTTTTTAAAGACAATTAAAGTCACGATTGCTTGCAAAATGTCACATTTCGAAACGTTTTGTGAGGCATTGCCAATCGCCGAAGTGGCATGGAAGTTTCACATCTGTGTGGCACATAAATTAATTTGTTAATTTTCATTTATGGAATTGTGGTACATGCATTAACCTTAAATGGTTATTAATATATGAATTATATTATCCTTTTATAGTTAATATAAATTAATTTATTGCATTTTTATTTTATCAAGCATAGAGAGTTAATTTACAGGTACTTTTAACCAATTTTATGTAAGAATCTGAAACCTCTCAAGCTCCTTGAAGACCGACTAATATCCACTAACTCATTGGAATGATTTATGACTTTATGAAAAAGAATATAAACTTAATTGAGAATTTCTGTAGTAGAGTATACAAAGAATAATTACTGAGTTTGCTTAATAGTAATAGACGAGGAGCTATTTTTTTTTTTTTTGAGGTGAGGAGGCTGGGAATGCCTACCATCCAGCGTACCAGAGACCTTGTTCTACCATGGGACTTTATTAGTATTACTTCGAGGTAGGGTTCCTATTAGTCACACATTCCTAGAGACTTTGTTCTACCATGGGCATTAGTATTACTTCGAGGTTGGATCCCTATTAGTCACTTCCAGTGGTGTGACTTGCATCCAGACCCCGCTACTGCTTCAGGTGACTAGCTTTGTACTTCGTCTTCATGTGGTGCTTACTCCAGCTGCCTTCTGTCGAGATCTGCTTTTTTTAACCTTAGGATTTTTTCAGCACACATTTCTTTGTGTTCCTAGTTTATTTGGTTTTCGATAATTTTTTCTGTCTCTGTCGTTGGGCAGCCACATATTGCGCTCAAAGAATGTGTGCTATGCGATATTATCTTCAGCACGATGGGGAGGTATAAGGGTAAACAATGCTATTGCCATTTATTTGTGTAACAGATTAAAAATTAAATGTATTGTTTTGGATATTATAATATATAAAATAAAAAATTTTTTTTTCTCTAAACTTTAAATTGATTAAATTAATAATAATTCATTGCATACAAACATTTTTGCTGTAGTAGCACAGATAGTTTCTTCTTCTTGACGAAGCCGGCTTGGTTTCTTTGCCTTCTCTGTGTTTGGTAAAGCTCCAATAACCTAAAGAACTATTGCAAATAAATCATATACATTACAAATAAAATGCAATTAATAAATAATAATGAAATATAAAAGTAAAGTATAACAATAAATTTTACTAAAAATAAATAAAAAATGTTTAATATATTTTGGTGTTAATAAAATATTGCTAAAATTTATTTGACAAGCTATTTCATAACTTACTTATCATAACTATTACAAATAAATGATATATTTATAGAAAATAATTAATAAATACTAATAAAGTGTATTCATAAAATATCACTACGAATTTCATTATAAAAAAATAAACAAATTTTAAGTATATATTCCTCTTAAATGCATATTGCAAACATTTATTTGACAAGCTATTTCATAACTTTCATATTATATATATCCAATAAAAAATTTTAACAATTTAATTAAAAATCGAAAACATTTCTTATCAAATAATTTGTCAAAAATAATTAACATTACGACAAAATATACTTAAATTAACATAAATTCTATTAACAACATTTTTATGGCCGGCAATTAAAAATACAAGCCGTGAAAACGCACTGAATTACGCACCACATTTTTTTCATATGATATATATTAAAATATAATTATTAAAAAAAAATAATAAAAATTAAAAACAATAAATATTATCTGCGGCCTACGCGGTATAAAAAAAATTGCAGATGTCAAACGAACGACCCGTCCTGTCCCGTTCCGTCCCGGAGCGATTTCGATTTATATTTGCGAAAGTTGATAATTAAAATGCGTGCAAGTAAAATCAACAAAAAAGGCAGTGAAAAATTGCTTTCATTGCAAAGTGCAATTCGTTCAAATAATTTAAGTGGCCAAGGCATAAGTTGTCAGCATTAAAGACCAATAAAAAAGATCATAAATAAATATTAACTCTTACGCATTCGCTTGCACCCATCGAATAGCTCATACCAATCCAAAGATACAAATGAATTTGTATCTGGGCATGAAATATTTCGGGCTCTGGCAACTACGGTTTTGCGCCAACATCGAAGTTATGTTGCCACCGTGTAGTTCAAGTCCATGAATGGCGTTAACAATTTGTAAAAAATGCGCTTAATCACTTGCGTTATTAAACAGAAAACAAGAAAAACTGTAACAAATAAATTTCAAAGATACACGTACGAAGTACCAACGATTTTCGTTGAAAGTCACCGGTCAGTCGGCTGGGCAAGTCACTCTACCACTCGTTAAAAGCTGCTTATAAATTTTTATGCAGAAAACCCATCCATTATAAAAACATAAAATCATTGAAATATTTGCGATAAAAATGCTCCAATATTTTATGGTGTAAAATTTCATTTTCCGTCAACTTGAAGTTTTATTTATTAAATTTTTTGCTTACATACTCGTATTAAGTGAAGATTTTATTTTATAAAGATGTTTTTTTCTCTTCAGGTGAGCAAAGGGCTTTAATGTGGTATTTCCAACGTAGTATTCAATGTACTTTTAATATTCAATTTAATTAGAAATTTACGACATGACTTCAGTCATCTATCGGAAATTAATTGGGTGTTCATAATATTGTATAAATGTCATATCGTTATGCTTACCAAACATTAAGATAACAATAAAAAAAAATCATCAAGTAAAAGATATAAAAAATTTAATTAAAAGAAAAAATTTTTATTCCATTTAAAAAAGGTTTTTTAAAAATCTGGATCCGAACTCTTTGAGTACTGGAAAAAATTCCGTTAAGCGTCGACACTTATTTATTTCATTTTCCTTACACATAGAATATATTCCTGAAAATCTTCTTATAACAGTGTTATTATTAAATTCGATCATATCTGCGCTGTCGTTAAGTATCCATGATTTTACCGATATATTGCACTTACCCGAAAGATATATATCTCTTCTACTAATGTGCAAATGTTTATCTGAAAGATATGTTTATGCCCTACTAATGACTAGATGCTTACCCCAAAGATGTACACAAAATCTCAATTCAGTATTTACTATAGCAATCATGTTTGGCTGTACATGTCGGTGTCTTTATATTAGGAATAAACAGTTCTAGAGATTTGCGAAATTGACTTGATTTAAAGTAAACATATGGTGTTCTATAAGCAGGTTATTTAGGTTACGAAACCACAATTTTTGTCGGCCTTATTCTTTTTTAAAATATGTTATAGTTCTTCCTGACCACAATCAAACAGGCAATATGGGTCATATATACT